GGGAGAGAGAGGGCGCGTGAGTGCAGTGATCGGAATGGCCTGCTGGCGGGGCGCCAAGAGCACCGCGTGGCTGCGGCTCGCCTCTGGCTCCGCCACTGGCCGCTGTACCCAGTGCACCCGTATGGGCTGGTGGCTGTGAAACCCGCCGAACCCGATCAATATCCTGATGGACGTGTCTGGCCGCGGTACCGGCCGGGCCGGGCCGGGCGGTCGGTGGGCCCGGACCAGGGCCCGGACGGGCCGGCATGCAGCCACCAAGCCACTCGGTGGGCCCCAAGGGGGGACCCCAAGGACCCCAAGGGGGGCGTGGCGTTGCGCACTCCGTCTCCACTCGAAATCTATCGGCGGCACGCATGGTGCTGCAAAGGCGGTGAAATCTGGGGTTTGTAAAGGCCGTGGCCGCCGCCGATGGTCCCAACGTTCTCTTGCATTTTTGCGGTGTTGCGGTGCCTGGCGGGAGGCCTGCCTTGCGATGACTTGCCCGCGGACCGGGGATATTGGGAGAGTAACTCCACCCCAAGGTGGACCGAGATCTGGGATTGGGTCACGGATTCGGTTCAAACTTTGTGGGTTCAATAGGTACCACTAGGACCTATCAACCCCAAAAGGAAAGTTGGCTAGCTCAATTAGATCTTGAGATATTTGCATTTTTCTAAATTTGACTAATTTAGCGGAAAAATGTCGCTTTCTGATTTTTTATTGGTAAAAGTTGTTCGCTTAGTTCTGGATTATGTTTCTTCTTTCTAGTCATAAAAAAAGAAGAAAAATGGTGGTAGGCCAAGATTTGTACGTTGCTTGGTTTGTCCTATTCGAGCAATTTTGTCGAATTCATCGAAACTCTCATACCCAAAATACTCCACCTTGGATTTGACCCTGGTACGTCTCATTTCACTTCTTTTACTCTAATAAACAATTGCTATATAGTCCCTAGCACCAACAATTCCATATAAGCCAGAAAAATCAAACACACATTTTTCAATTTTCTACTTTGACCTATTTTTGGCGCTTTTGTCAAGATTGGGGCTTCTACATGAGCTTGGGTGATAAAAAAGATCGTTCCTGCCCTCAATTAAGACAGTATCGACACAAACAAAGAGACCCAAACCCAAGGTGCACTAAAAATTTATAATGAAATTGTTTCGAGCAAATTTTTAAAGTTTACGAGGGGTGTGAGGAGTTTAAATCGGAGGAAAATGTAATGCTTCAGCCAAAAGTGGATTTGTGGTGCATTTGTTAGCTTTCTTCAGTAGGTGTGGCGCCCTTTTAACCATGTGAGTGTTCCTCCTTGATAATCAGTGTTAAAACCCTGATTTGGTATGGGGTTGTTGGACTTGCAATTTCAACGCATAAGCAAAGTAATGATCCATTTATTTAGGTTTGCAACATATAACTTCAACCGCTTAGTCTCAATAACTGAGCCTGGTTCCATTTGGTTTGTAAATTTGAGACCAACCGGATGACTTAAGACTAAGGGGGCTCAGCTTACACGTTGCAAACAACCTAAATAAATAGATCATTACTTTGTTAATACGTTGAAATCGTAAGTCCAACAACCCCATACCATATCAGGGTTTTAACACTGGTTATCAAGGAGGAACATTCTCATGGTTAAAAGGGAACCATACCTACTAGAGAAAGCTAACAAATGCACCACAAATCCACTTTTGGCTGAAGCATTACATTTTCCTCCGATTTAAACTCCTCACACCCCTCGTAAACTTTAAAAATTTGCTCGAAACAATTTCATTATAAATTTTTAGTGCACCTTGTGTTTGGGTCTCTTTGTTTGTGTCGATACTATCTTAATTGAGGGCAGGCAGGATCCTTCTTATCACCCTAGCTCATGTAGAAGCCCCAATCTTGACAAAAGCGCCAAAAATAGGTAAAAGAAGAAAATTGAAAAATGTGTGTTTGATTTTTCTGGCTTATATGGAATTGTTGGTGCTAGGGACTATATAGCAATTGTTTATTAGAGTAAAAGAAGTGAAATGAGACGTACCAGGGTCAAATCCAAGGTGGAGTATTTTGGGTATGAGAGTTTCGATGAATTCGACAAAATTGCTCGAATAGGACAAACCAAGCAACGTACAAATCTTGGCCTACCACCATTTTTCTTCTTTTTTTATGACTAAAAAGAAGAAACATAAGCCAGAACTAAGCGAACAACTTTTACCAATAAAAAATCAGAAAGCGACATTTTTCCGCTAAATTAGTCAAATTTAGAAAAATGCAAATATCTCAGGTTCTATTTGAGCTAGCCAACTTTCCTTTTAGGGTTGATAGGTCCTAGTGGTACCTATTGAACCCACAAAGTTTGAACCGAATCCGTGACCCAATCCCAGATCTCGGTCCACCTTGGGGTGGAGTTACTCGGGACGCCCTTGCCTTTTAGTGGCCGTGCCGGGCCGAGGCCGCTGCACATATCGAGGGTGTGCTTTTAGTGGTGTGCCCCGCCGTGCGCTCGGAAATGTTGTTCCTTTCTGATTTGGACGGAGGTCTGTAGCAGCCGTGTGGTTCCTCAGTCTGTCACCAAGTGTCCGGGTCTGCCCTGGGTCCCGATGGCCACGAGGCTCTGGAATTGATTACGCACTCGACTGAGAGTCGTTTTCGTCGGCCTGTCTCTCTCGCTCCCGCACGGGACGTCCCCAGAGTGCGAGAGAGAGACCTCCCCCTCGGAATCAGTCCGCTGCGCGTTCTGACAGCCCGCATACCTCCTGGGGCCATGTCTCCCCCCCACCCCTCTGAACAGTTTGGTCCGGCAAGGCTGGCGGATGCTGTTGCTCGAGAGTGTGCCGTGTGGCATGGCTTGGCCGGGCTTGGCTCAGCACGGAACACGAGAACCCCTCTCTTAGTGCCGCAGGACTTAACCCAGCAATTTGTCCAGCGCGTTGCTGTAGTGTGTTGAAGATTTGCGGAATAGTGAATGCACGCATTTCATTGGCTGGCCGAGTGTTAGTTTAGCCTTAGTTTTACCAGTGCACCCGCACCGTCCAGCAGAAGACGTCAGTAGCGCAGCGTGTAGACCGCGGTGCTCGACCGGGAAAAAAAAAGGGGGGGGGGAGCGTCACTGACGTAGCGGCGCCGCACAGTGGGCCAGAAGACCGGTGGAGCGGCCAAAATCCTAGACGCGTTTTGAGCTCCAGAGTCGCTAAACAGGACTCGAACCGAGCGTGTGACCCCACCAATGGATTCCTCGTTCGGAGAGCAATCCATTGGTGGGGTCACACGTTTGGTTTGAGTCCCATTTAGCGACTCTGGAGCTCAAAACGCGTCTAGAATTTTGGCCGCTCCACCGGTCTTCTGGCCCACTGTACGCCGCGTGTGCACCGTCTCCCGAGACGCGCCGAGGCGGTGCCGAGGCGGTGCCGACGGCTCAAAGTCGAACCAACCAACGACCGCGAGAAATGCCTGTGCGATTGTTTAATCGGGGGCTGGCCGGGCTGGCCTCCACTGCGGCCGCCCTGCCGGGTCCGGCCGTCCGGCCGCGGAGCGCCGACGCCGCCGACGGGTACCTAGTGGCGAGAAAGACGCGCGCCGACTCGGCTAAATATACCGGCCGGCCTGTGCACGGCTGCAGGGCGAAGCAGGGCGAGGCTGGGCGGGCCGTGGCCAAAGAGCCCCCGCGAGGCCGGCAGGCCGTCGGCCAGGCCGCGAGGCTGGAGAGGGGCGCGGCACGCCGCCGTCTCAAGCCGGCGCCGCCCCGATGCACTGGTCGACGAGCTGGGGGAGTGGCGGCGCGCGCCCCGTCAGCCACCGGAGTGAGTTACAGTGTACCTGCGCCGAGTGCGTGGGCGTGGGCAGGGCAATATCGCCTGTCGACGCGCGCACGCCGCGCACGCGCCGCGCACGGGACGAGGCGCCTCCAGTCAGTGAACCTGGCGGGGGAGGGGAGGGGGGCGGCCGCCAGCGTCGCGGGCGTCGCGAGTCGCGTATTCTGGGCCGAAGCGAGGCTGTCGCGCGGAACAGATGCACCTGTCAGATTAGGCGCAAGGGTCCGCCGCGCCCCGCCACGCCACGCCCAGTGATAAGGCATTGAGGGCTCGTCCCTGCCGCCGGGCGGGCCGCGGGGCCGTGCAGCCGCGCTGCGCGCCGAGGCAGCGGGAGGCGGAATATGGATGGAAGACGAGCGCCAAGTGCAGCCCGCCTCGTGCGCTCAGTGTGCACGCCGTCGCTCTGCAAGTCCAATGTCCCGGCACACAGTGGGCCAGAAGACCGGTGGAGGCAGCACAAACTCTCTAGGCGCGTTTCGAGCTCCAGAGTCGCTAAACAGGACGCGCACCGAACGTGTGACCCCACCAATGATTGGATTCCTCGTTCGGCAGCGCGGCCACACCGTAAGTGGGCCGACGTGCACGCTCTGAGCAGCACGGGCTGAAGTCGCAGGATCATCCCAAACAGTGCTGTAGACTCTCTTCTATCTCGCTCTCGTGGCCCACCAGCTCGAAGAGTGCACAGGTACCTCAAGCGTAGTTGGTTACTCGCTTGAATGAAGAGTACAACTGGGGCAACCGGGCTTCCAGTTTTACCAGTGGCTTGACGACGGGGTGCTGCAGGGTGTACATTGCGTTAGGCTCGACTGGTGCACGGAGGTGCGTGGGGCCGGGGGCTGCCGGGGGCGGCTGGGGGCGTGGCGGCGCGGTGCGGTCTGGTGGGTGCGGCGGGGCGTGGCGGGGCGAGGCGGGGTGGGGTGCGGCGGGGCGTGGCGAGGCGGGGTGGGGTGCGGCGGGGCGTGGCGGGGCGTTATCGACCGCTGTCGCGCTCCTCGCGCCGTCTCACTCCCTCACTCCTCCAGCCTCGTACCGTCTTTGTTATTTTCCTCCTTTTGGGTCTGTCGGCTGTGCTTTGCCAAATTGGGCTCTTCGGGGAATAATAATCGCGCTTGTTTGACGGAGGAGCCAGACTCGGAGTGCGAGAGAGACAGAGGCAGTGTCCCCGCTGTCGTCGGCCATGATCTGTGTGCGACTCGCTAAATGCTAAATGGTGCCTTTCTTTTGTTGCAGCTCCTGCCGGTCCACGAGTGAGAAGCAATTATGAATGAGTTGGAAAGCCTGAGGCAGGAAGCAGAAACGTTAAAAAATGCCATCAGAGTAAGTATGTTTTGTTAAACTAAGACGGGACGGGGGAGATGGTCCGTCGTCTCGGGACGGGACGCGCGGGACGCGACGGCTGGAATTCTTTGCCTTGGCACAATGGCGCTGCTAGAGTGTTGGTGGAGGGGCCCGCGTTGCCGGGGATTTCGAAGAGAAGCCCGGTGGACACGGCTGGGAAAACGGAGCGGGGATTCTCGATTGCACAGTCCCGGGTGCGTGGTGCACTGCGCGCTACACTGCGGACTGATTCCGAGTCTCTCTCTCACTCATGGGGTGCGAGGGAGAGACAGCGACGGAAACGACTCTCGGAATGAGTGTGCTGCATGCGAGTCCGGGGACGCCCCCAGCGCTAGAGGCCAGAGGCAGGCAGGCTCGACGCCTGGAGTGACAGCCCGACACAAGGGAGTGTACACTCTAAATGTCAAACCAAGAAATTTTCCAAAATACGGAGGAAATGGCGCAGGCATGGTACGAATGCAGTTTTTATTCATATTTCAAAGGTTTTCCTCAAATTCTAAAAAGATTCATAACCTTGGAGAAATCTTACTTCGCACTATGCTTGCGCCGAATTAACTGCAACATGGCTCAAATTTTTTTGCAAGACATTTAAAGTGTGACACTTTGAGGAATCGTGTACAGACTACTCGGTGTTACGCTGTATGCACGACATTGAACTCTGCCTTGGCACAGTGGAGCCCGGCAGACGTTTGCGTCGCCTTCACCCTGTGGGGCCTGTGGGGCAGACACGCCACTGCCATCAATTGAGTGGCCGCCGGGCACGACGGGTACCCGCGCGGCTACCGGCTGCGAAGCATGACAGGCCACACGAGTGCGAGAGAGACGGGAAGACTGCGGCCTGCAGCACGGCCTGCAGCACGGCCTGCAGCACGGCCTGCCGCGCCCCGCGCGTGCCGCTGCTGAGGGCTTCCCTGTCCCCTTTCCCTCTCCGCGCTTCGCCACCCCTTCCTCGTGCCGCCCCTTTTGACAGGCGCCGCTGTCGTGCGTCAGACACTGCAGGTGCTTTACTTATGCAAGCCTTTGCTCCGGAGCCCTCTTTCGTCCCGCGACGGCCCCTTCCGTAACTGCAACCCCCCCGCTCTCGTCACAAACCTCAGTCACGACGGACTTGGTCGTCACAGACCTGCCCCTGGGTCCGGTCCTGCCGCCGCCGCCGTCACAACCGCCTCGTCACGGCACGGCACAGCATGGCACGGCGTGGCCCTTGAGACGGCGTCTCTGTCTCTCTCGCACCCTCTCGGAGAGCCCCATGAGTGCGACAGAGCGACGAAACGGCTCTGTCCCGACGTGCCCCGCAGCGGCGGCCACAGGCATCATGTGTACGGCTGACACTTGTTTTGCCCTTTATTGATAACGAGGCTTTGTCGCGGCGTCTTGCGTCACGACGATGTGCACACCTGTCGACGGCGGGCTGCCCCCGCTTTGACGGCCTGCTTGGTGTCCTCCCGAGAAGCCCGCGCAGGACTGCAGGCCCATTCCGTCGCTCTGACTCTCCCGCGCCCCTGCGAGCAGCCCCGTGAGTGCGAGAGGGACAGACAGTCGGCTCGAGTCGGCTGGCGGCCCTTCCGTGCGCTGCAGCGCGTGCTGCAGGACGCCCTGCTCGGCCTCGCGATGCTCCGGACGTGCGGTGTTACCCGCCAGGTGCATACCCTGGCGGGGCGGGGCGGGGCGGGGCGGGGCGGGGCGGGCTGGGAGCGGGCAGGTGGGTCCGGCCGGCCCGCCTCGTCGGGTAGTAGCGAAGTGAACAGGTGCACTCGTGGCATCCTGGCGTGCCTTGGCGTCGCTTCGCGTGCTCTGTCACTCCAGCCCGTCCTCTTGGCTCGCGAGGGCCCTGCAGACCGATTCCGAGGCATCATTTCGTCGCTCTGTCTCTGCCGCACTCACGGGGCGCAGGGCTGCGTCGGGCTGCGTGAGATACAGAGCGACGAAACGGCTCTCTGGAGTGACTGGCTCGAGCGGGCCGCGCTGCCGAGTGATTCAGAAGATCGCTTTGTCGCTCTGTCTCTCTCGCACCCTTACGGAGTGCCCCATGAGTGCGAGAGAGATAGAGCGACGAAACGACTCTTCGGAATCGCTCGGCTGCCGCGTTCGTGAGGGAGGGGAGGGGAGGGGCCCTCCCTGGCTGTCGCGGACGTCCGGAAACTGGTATCGAGGAGGCTCTCTACTCATTCCCCGTCAGGCTCCTCTGTGTGCACTCTGGCAGAGCATTGCAGTGACCCGGGCAGGGAGGGGGAGCAAGGCATGCTGTTGCACGGGACATGTTGGAGGGGGTGGACTCGGTACTGATTCGGTATGAATGCCACGTTTGCGGGCGAGCCTTGGCGGGGCAACTGGGGGCGGGGTAGGGAGTTGCGGGGCCGAGGTGCCGCCACTGCATCGCGCCCCGCGACTCCGCGGCCACGGCGGCGCCCTGGGTGGCGCTGGTTGCATCGGCAGGCTGATTCCGGAAGCCATCGCCTGTCTCTCTCTGCGTGGCACCTACACGGGACACCCCGTCGATGGGAGAGAGGCGGCTGGGGTGTGGCCGGTGCGGCGATGGCTGGCGATGTCAGGCGTTGCGGACGATGCCAGCAGTGACGGCGGCTGGACGGGACAAGACGGCCCGACGCGAGAGTGAGAGTGAGCGCGAGGCGGAGGTTGGGTGGCGCGGAGGCGCTGGCAAGGCTGGCTGGGGCTGGGGTGGGGCGCGGCTAGCGCGGCGCGCAGCGCGGCGCCGACCCTTCCCGTGGCCCGGTCTTGGGCGCGGGCGGCGCGGGCGGCGAGGGCGGCGCGCGGTGGCCGGGGGAGAAGGGAGGGGGGATGCGTGGCTCGGAGAGGGTGGCGCCTGGGCCTGCCTGGCCGGCCTGGCGCTGGGCGTGTGTGCCGCGATCAATACAGCAGCAACGCCTGGCGTAGCCCCGGCCGCTACGCCCCGGCCCGGCCTGGCCGCCCGGCGTAGCCTAGCGGGGCGAGGGGCGCGGGGCGCGGGGCGAGCATTGATCCTCCCTCCCCGCCCCGGCCCTGCCTCCCCTGCCCACTCCCCCTCCGCCCTTCCCGCTTCCCTTCCCCGTCCTGCCTCCCCTTCCCCGCCAGCTACGCCAGCTCAGAGCGCCTCAGGCCCCAGTGCCCCCACAGAGCACATAATACCGCGGTGGCCCCGCCACGCCTCGCCCCGCCCCGCCACGCCCCGCCACGCCCCGCCACGCCCCGCCGGCCGGTGTGCTGGCGCTCTTGGACGGGCAAAGCGCAAAGTGCCGAGGGAAGACCGGGTCTAAAGCGTCGGAATAGTTGGGGCCAGCTCGCTAGCGATAGCGGCGTAGCGGCGCGTCCGTAAGCAAAGCACTGCCGGGTCCTCGGCAAAAAAAATGGTGCGAATGGGGAGCGCGAGCGGGGTGGAGGGGGATGTCTCGTCGAACCGTTGGGCAAAAGAGCCCGCCTGGCGTTAGGAGGGCGTAGCGCCGCGTAGCGCCGCCATGCCGCCCAGCTTGGGGCGTGGCGGTCTGGCGGCCTGGCGGGCGGCGGGGCTCGGCGGAAGGCGTAGCGTAGTAGGACTAGGACTCTACGGCCGTCCGCCGCACCGCACCGCGAGAGCAGGGAGGAGAGGAGGGCGGTGGATGAGTGAGGGCTGAGGGGCAGACTGGTGCTCCTCCGCCCCGCCCCGCCTCCGCGCCCGTCACCGTCACCCTCTCGCTAACCCAGAGCGGTTCGCCTCGCCACTGTTGGCGGCGATAATGTGGAAGTGCATGGGGCGTCGGAGGGGTGGGGGCGTTTCTAGAATTGGATGTACACTAGGTACATATGAGGAAACACAGCCACAGCGACTTGTCCCACCCCGCCTTCAATATCATTCAATATGAAAAATTAGGCGAATTATTTTTGGCAACAGATTGAATCACCCTTGAGTTATGTCTTTTGTTGATCTGGGCATAAAGTTTGTTTAACACTTGTTCATTTGTTTTAGGATGCAAGAAAGCAAGCATGCGACACAACACTGGTCCAGGCTACCAGTTCAATGGAGCCTATTGGACGAATACAAATGCGCACAAGGCGCACCCTTCGAGGCCACCTTGCAAAGATTTATGCAATGCATTGGGGCTCGGACTCGAGGTAACATATCTGTTGGTTTGTTTTGAGTCTATGTTCATTTGCTGTCAGCAGTTTGTGTTCACATATCTTTTTTTTAATTTCAGGAACCTAGTTTCTGCTTCTCAAGATGGCAAACTTATAGTATGGGACAGTTACACCACGAACAAAGTGCATGCTATTCCCCTTCGTTCAAGTTGGGTTATGACATGCGCTTATGCACCATCTGGGTTCTTTGTTGCCTGTGGTGGTCTCGACAACATTTGCTCTATTTACAGGTAAGATTTACTCTGACTGGTTTGTTTTTTTAGATTATTTCTTAGATTCTTTTATTTTTTAACCACTTATTTTCAATGTTTTGTAATTAGCCTGAAGACAAGAGAAGGAAATGTTCGAGTCAGCCGAGAACTGCCCGGGCATACGGGTTATTTGTCATGCTGTCGCTTCTTAGATGACAACCAAATTGTTACAAGTTCTGGTGATATGTCTTGGTAAGTTAGTTTTACTCTTTTGTAAGATAAATCATCATGTTGTCACTCTATTCTAACTCGATCCCTATTCTATATTTGCAGTGCACTATGGGACATAGAAACAGGACAGCAGTATACTTCATTCATTGGCCACACAGGTGACGTCATGTCACTATCCCTCTCGCCTGATATGAGGACGTTTGTATCAGGGGCATGTGATGCTTCAGCTAAGGTAAGATCTAAACGTCTGATCATTGCTGCTTGTCACATACTGCTGTATATTTATGTTATTAACAAACACTGCTTGGATTTCTAGCTGTGGGATATCCGAGAGGGCTCATGCAAACAAACCTTCCCTGGTCATGAATCTGATATCAATGCTGTTACGGTAAGCAACATTTCTTTACCTCATTTAGTGTTGCTTTTCAATGAATTTGATTGCTAACTGAACGATTTCATTTCAGTTCTTCCCGAATGGTTTTGCATTTGCCACGGGTTCAGATGATGCAACCTGCCGCCTGTTTGACATTCGCTCAGATCAGGAACTAGCCATGTATTCACATGACAACATTATTTGTGGTATCACATCAGTGGCTTTCTCGAAGTCTGGTCGGCTCCTATTGGCTGGCTATGACGACTTTAACTGTAATGTGTGGGACTCCATGAAGACAGAACGGGCAGGTAAGATAAGCGCAATTTATGTCTGCACTGTATAGTTTTGTTTTTCCCATGAGTAGCAGTTGATTCTTAAAATGATGAAATATTATAATTTCAGGAATCCTTGCGGGCCACGATAACCGAGTGAGCTGTCTGGGTGTGACAGAGGATGGCATGGCAGTTGCCACTGGTTCATGGGACAGCTTCCTGCGTATATGGAACTAGACTCAGTGCTGATAGTTCATTGGCTGCCAATTCATCTTCACCACAGTACAGTACAGTACAGGGGCACCACCAGCACAAGCCAAGGCACCGCCGGGGCCCGAGGCACCGCAAAACTATGGCATCTATGAGCTGCACTGCCGCCAGAACCAAGCATCAGGCGACGTGTGCTACAGATGCCTTTGCTGCTGCATCAGTCTTTTTATTTGTGGATCGGTTTAGGGGTGGGGATAAAATCTTCCCCTGGATTTTAGCTTTTAGTTTTTATTATTCAATGAGGAACAGACAATATTGTTTCTTTCAAATATTAACATGAGATGTGTGTGTGTGTGTGCGTGTGTGGTAAGCGAAAGCAGCTCTTTGCTTTCCACTCAAGATCACTGAAGAAAGTTAATGTTGAGTTCTTTTTATATCTTCACTGGCACATTATGTCAAACTTTCAAATTCATGCCAAATAATTTGCTTCTCTTTAATTTTCAAAGTCAAGACTTCTATTCTGAAGTCCATTTTACATACAATTAGCACAATTCACATTTCATCTGTTTGTCAAGAAGTGAATGAACAGAATCCATATTTATGAGATGCATTTACTTGCAGTATTTTTAGTTTTAAATTTAAAGCATAGTTAAATCAATGATATGTAAGGACCAGTAATTGTTTTGTTGGACATGTTTATGAACTTTGTTAGAAAAGTGCCCTCAAGTAGTCTGCTTGCATGCTGGAAGGTGGTGATTTCGGTTGTCCCCACACCCTGGCCCACGGGCCTCTGCCAACTTAATCACTCAAATTGAGTGTTAATTACCTACTCAATTGCCAATTGTCACTGACGGCATTTCTATCGCCTCAATGAGAAACTAGCTGGTCCTCGGGTTGGTTCTGGCAACAGTACTTGGTCAGGACAAGCACTTGTTGTCTCAGCCGCGTCTCAGGCATTTTTGCCACTGTTTTCAAAGCTCAGTTTGTTAACTGAGTCAGGGGGGCTGGGACCACTACAAGCTGAGCAGGCTGAAATAGCAACCAACCCGACCCTCTGGTTCCACTCTTTTAATCAAAAGTCAAAGGTGGATGTTGGAACAAATAGCACATGGATAAGTCAGTTTCGTAATTTTGTATTGGTTTGGAAGTCTGTGTTATCCTTTTCTTTCCTTGTAATATAGAACATAGAATCTTTCCACGTCATTGTTTTTCATCTCTGTACCACAAAGAACTTAAGTGTAATGCAAAAAAAAAAATACTGCCAACATTAATTTTATGTGACTGTACCAAACATATAGACCTTACCCTTTTGCAAAAAAGTAAGTATAATGTAATGGAAGTTTGTGGAAGTATGAGAGTGGTTCCATTTATTTTCATTTTATTTTTCAATTTTGAGACTTGTGTGAGCAACTTCCAAAGGGCTGTAAATACGCATTTAAAAGCTTTGTAGAAAAAAAACAAAACAAAATCTCTAGTGTTATGAGATGCAGTTCTGATATATAGTCAGTTGCATTGAAAATTCGATAAATGGGATTTTGCAAGAGAAACGACAAACTCATTAAATTGGATATTGCAAATTATTTGAAAAATAGAATATTGCAACTTTTTAACTGCCAATGATTCTAAATTTTTCTCTCTGGAGTTGTCATTACACTTTGATTTCAATTATCACTCTCCCTTAACTTGTACTTCTGTAGTGTCAACTGTGTTATTAAAACGAACTGTGAATCTTCAGATACCTTCAAAACTTCAAATACCACTTTCAAATACCTGTTTTATTCTTCCACTCTTCCCCACCCCGTTTTTATCACTTTTCTTATTTGATTTTGAATGTTTTGGATAGTTAAATCCTAAAGAGTTGATTTTTATTGTGAGCAGATATTTCCTAAAGAGCTGATTTTTAATGTATGTGAAATTATTATTCCTATGGAGCTGATTTTTATTGATAAAAACAATTATTCTTGTGGAGTTGAGTTTTAAAATTGTGGCGCCCTGTTTCCTAAGGAGCTGAGAGGTCGACCTTTCAACATGTACCATCCTGAACCTGCCCCCTGATGCACAGCAGGACACTGTCTTATGGTAAAGAATTTTGTACTTTATTTATGAAGTTGATGGCTGATATGTAATTAAAAGCAGTTTGTGTAAATAATTCGAACGAATAGATGCCATGGAAAGTGTTCCTTTTGTTCCCTTTTTGTTTTCCTCTCACAAACGCATTTCATTATTTAGGTTTCCTCTGGAATGTGTTTTTGTGTGTTTGAATATTGTGAGTCATGTATGCGTGTGTGATAGTGTGATGTGTGAATGTGGTCTTCATGTGCAGAGTGTGCAGGCTATGTAATTTAATTTTGTGTGTAATTGCCTGTCTTGATGTCTCACAAGCCAAGAAGCTGATGTTGAGTAGCGTCTCTGCTGCTCACTTTATATTTATCATTTGTCATTGTCAAAACCATTGTCTCCTCTTCAAAAATTCACCAAATGAATTTTTGTTTTGTTTTTATCTTTGATATATATTTTTTGTTTCAATTATTCCATCCCCTTTTTATGTTAAAGAAAGGAGATCTGTAGAGGAGCATTCTGCACTGATTTTTGCTTTGGCCACTGCCTGTGGGTTGTGTTGGCGTGAGAAAGGTCAGTGTGGCACATAGCGCCTCAATGTTTGTACGTGTTTGCTAAGTGCTAATACAGCTCCACCAAGCTTCATTTTCTCTTGCTAAGTACAATTAATTGAATGAAGTACCTAAGGGCTGACCATCAATAAAATATCATTATATTCTAAATATATACGCCGCAAGCGTGGTGCAACTCTTGCGAGAATCACTTTAAAATGTCATACAGAATGCGAATGCTATACCACAACTTCTTATTGACTGGCAGGCCGCGTGCTTGAGGGGATGGGTGTTGACTGTGTAGGTGATTGACCAAATGTGGCTGCACCTAGACCTGTCATGCCGCCACATATGGGCTCAGGGTCTTTTTCCTGCACTAGTTGTGTCCACCGCCACTTCAACCATGCCTGCCTGCAATGGGCCCCCAGATTTCCGACAAAAGTCTTAGTTATATTATTCATAAATCTTTTCTCGCAATTCTGGGAGCCCTACAGTCAGAAAGAACCAATTAATGTTTGTATAAAGTGTGTATTCTGTCCTCTCAATATAATTTATTTTAAAAATGGAATATTTCTACTGTTCTTATTAACATGGTACTGTACTGTATGATTTTGAACAAAACAACATGGTTAAGTACAGTCTAACTGTGTGTAGCTAGATAGTCCTTTCTATGAAATGATATGGAATGATTGTGAATACGAGCTGACATCATTTTTTAAAGGAAAAAAACCCGTGTAAATGTAGTCAAAACGTGTGAAAATACCATGTTAAGGAAACTTTGCCCTAAAAAAAACCCTTGCTGTTTCCTTGAAGTGACATGAATTCTTTGGTAGAATGTAGCCATTATTGTATCTTTTGATCGGCAGAGGCACATCACTGTCCAGGAAAATAAGTTATTGACAAGGGTTGGAACAAAATGCACAATCTGCTATCCAGGCATATTGTCCTGTTCTGATTAGAAACAAATGGTCCTGAATTTGATAAGACTCATTAATTGATCCCTGCACAGTTTGTGCCCGATTAAAGTTTACAAAATTCTCTCCTGATCACTATTCCATAGATATTTGAAGGAGACGTCCTTCTCTCCTAAAATGTCACATTTTCAGTTGTTTATTTGTGTAATGATAAGCATCAATCATGGGTGAGTTGAGTCAGAACTATCCATAACTACCTACCTAAAAATTACTAAAGTAGTGTTATTTTGTTCCTTTTTGTATCTATGAGAATGTAAAAAAACAAAAACAAAAAAAAAACACCATCGCTGTTAGCTTCTGAAAGTTGTGTTTTGTGGTCTGTCTTGTAAAGTAACATTAAAGTCTCATTTGTCCAAATAAAGCTATGTGTCTTTATTTATCACACTTCTTTTTACATAATAAAAAGGATGTAAATTAGTTGTTCAGCAAAAGCTAAACAATGCTTCTCACATCATGTCAAATTCTGGATTGATTCTCATTGATGAGAAAATTCCAAATTGCATCTCAGCCTTGAAGCTGCTTAATATGATTTCTGGCATAAAATTGGATTTCCAGTGCAGCACACACAAAAGTTCGATTTGGAAATCCATTACAATGGAATGTTGGTATGTCTTAACTTAACATGTCCTAAACAAGACTGACTATTCTGTAATCACAAACACTGTGCAGTTTTAAATTACCCATTTCATCATCATAATGAAAAACAGTCTTTGTATGGTTCGGAACCAAAGGAGTTTTGGACTCCATTGAGCTAAGTCACTAGAGTGCAGCTTCCTTACCTAAAACTACTTAACAGTTAATACTTAACATGAGGTCATTGCACTCCTCCTTCAGCAAGCAACTAAACCAGAATACACGATGACACATCCGCCGTTCTCGACGAGGTGTCCTCTATTTCAATCAAACGAGATAATACTGATGCAAAGGCACAACAAACTACAACCAGCCTGGGTCCTGCCCTCGGGCCGGCCGGCCGGGTCCAGCCCTTGGCCCTTTGGTCCAACATCGCCTGTCCGACTGTCCTGCAGTCGTAGCGAGTAGCGCGTCCCTCTCCTCCTTGACGTCCTTGACGTGGAAGGTGTTGCCCGCGGTGCCCGTCCCGCGGTCCGCTGCTCCGCCCTCCATCCACGTAGAGATCATCTACACTGTCCTAGTCGTGCCACCGGCACTCTGGGGGCGGGCGGCCACCTTCCTAGTGCGCTGCAGTTCAACCAGGCACTGGCTTCCTGGCTGGGCTCCACCATGGAGTCCCCGTCCTCGGTCCTCGGTCCTCGGTCCCGGCGACGAGGCCCTCACAACGGACGACTTGGGGCGACGTGGCGCCGCGTGCCGCCGCGTGCAAGTCGCTGCCGGCCCGGCTATCTCTGGCGGCCCAGGCTGATGGTGTAGACGTCCTGGCCGCGCGACGACGCCGCCACGATGTCCAGGATGGAGTCGTCGTTGGGGTCCACGGGCGCGGCCACCGCCTCCCCGCGGCTGTTCTTGCGCGCGGCGACCGAGGCCGAGGCGGGCGGCATGGCGGCCTCCTCGTCGACGCCCTCCTTGCCGTCCTTGGCCTTGTCCGACTCGTGACCGCCGAAGGACATCTCGATCTCCCGCAGCGTCCGGCCGTTGGTCTCGGGCAGGAGGAACTTGCCGAACACCGCGCCGCAGAGGGACAGCGCCGAAAACACCCAGAGCACGCCGTCCATGCCTGCAACGGGAGGGGAGGGGCGTCGTACAGTGTGCCCACACAGTCGGTCTGCGCCCGACACGCAGGCAACTTATCCTACGCGACTCGATCGGAAGCTTACCGATGGCGTTGCGGAGGTCGGGGTACGTCTTGACGGAGGTGAAGATGAGCAAGTGCGCGAGCGAGGACACGATGCCGCCCATGGCGCCGCGGGCGCGCAGCGGGAACAGCTCGCCGGTCATGATCCAGGGCAGCTGCAGGTAGCCCAGCATGGACACGCACACGTGCACCAGGAAGCACGCCAGCGGCACCCAGGGCAGCGGCCGCGACGACGGCGGCAGCGAGGAGAACAGGTGCTCGTAGAAGCCGGCGGCGAGCATGGCCAGGAACATGCCCACGCCCGACATGCAGGCCAGCGTGGTGCGGTTCAGCTTCTGGATGGCGAGCGCGCCCAGCAGGCTCATGACGAGCCGCATGCACGCCACCCAGATGGAGGCCACGTACTCGTTCATCTCGGTGCCCACCTCCTGCGGGACAAAAAAGGGCGAGTTTCAGACATTCAGCCGTAGAGTGATAGAGAACCAGGCCCGAGGGAGGACACACACGCACCTGGAACAGCGACACGGCGTAGTACAGCACCACGTAGATGCCGGAGCCTTCTTGGAAGAGGAAGAAGGCGAGCAGGAGCAGGAACGGTTTCCAGATGGCCGGCTGGACGAAGGAGCAGCGCCCCGCGCCGGCCTCGGCCTCCTGCAAGCAAAGCAGCAATGTCAGCCCCTCAGCCCGTCAGCCTGGAGGGTAGGCCGCCCGCCGGACGTACCTTGTTGGCCTGCGCCAGCGAGTCCGTGATCTCGGCCAGCTCCTTGTCGGCGGCGGCGGGCGACCGCCGGAGCCAGACCAGGGCGGTGCGGGCCTCGGCGGTGCGGCCCCTGGCGGCGAGCCACGGCGGCGTCTCCGGCACCAAGCTCACGGCCACCAGGCTGAAGAGCGCGAAGATGGTGCAGAGCGCCGCCACGATGTGCCACTGCGCGAAGAAGCCCAGCGTGTAGACGATGAGTACGCCCAGCGACACCAGCACTGGGCCGCACGCCGACAGCGGGCCGCGGTGCGAGGCGGGGGCCACCTCGGCCACGTACAGGTAGCTGGCGGCCGCCATGCCCACGGCCAGTCCTGCCAACCACAACCACCAATCACACAGGGCTTACACTTACCCGAAACGGCCCTCAAATGGGGTAATAAGTGGCATTGGGGTAAAAATGGCACACTATAAGTCTGTGTGGTGACTCAGACTTACCCGAGATGAAGCGGCCCACGCAGAGCAGGGTGAAGTGCCTGGCCAGCGCGAGGCACACCCAGCCCACCACGTAGGGGATGGCCGTGAGCTGGATGGCGGTGCGGCGGCCCAGCAGCTCCACCAGCAGCCCGGACAGCAGCGCGCCCAGCGGGTTGGAGATGACGCCCAGCGCCGCTGCAGACACGCACGCCGGTCAAGATCAAGCTGCTCGTGCTCATGCTCGGGATGCGAGCGCGACTCACTCCGAACGTCGCTGTCTCTCTCGCACCCACGCGGCGTTACTCGCAGAGGTGCGAGAGAGACAGGACGGCGGCCAGCCTTACGGTGCACCTACCTATCCAGGAGGCGTCCTGCTCCGAGACGACCAGCTTGGAGGCCTTGTCCTGCAGCTGGGGCAGCAGGATGGCGGAGTAGCCCTGGCAGAGCCCCACCGAGATGGAGTTGGAGTGCGCCGCCATGGTCGCCAGCACCTGCAACCCAAACCAGGGGACCCGGGTCAGCGAGCTGCACTATTGCGTCAAGTGCAGCGCGAGTTTCGACACAGATGCGAGCGATTCGCACTGCTCGCTGCGTTCGCCGCTAATCGTGCCACCTGCTCGATGCTCGCGAAGCTCCAACTGGGTCAAAGACCGCACTATGCTAATTAACCGCCAGTCTCGGCGCGCGGCGCGCCGGTCGTGGTCGCGACGTGGGCGTAGTTTTGCTGCCTTCCGTTTTTAGAACTCTTTCGCGGTTTCGACTCGCCGAATTTAGACGGCAAGTGGTGATACGCGCCGCCAAATGGAACGGGCCCACACTTTCCCTGCTCGGCAAGGCAAAGTCTGACGCGCGGGAGGCGCGGCGGACCTCGCGGTGGACCATGGGGGTCTCATTCCGACCAGCGCTTCTCGTCGCTCCGTCTCTCTCGCGCCCCTGCGGCCCTGCGGCCCGTGAGAGCGAGAGAGACGAGATCCCCATTCGGAATCCGCCTTAGGCCGTCGTAGGTCGAGCCTCCCCGTGGTGATTCACAGTCCTGCCTCTCGTTCGTCTCCACAATGCGTTACTCAATCTCGCCGCCCGGCCACGGGACCCTCGTCCTCGCGGTCCTCGTGATCATCGTGAACCTCGTCACCGAGACCGCCTCCGTAGTCCTTGGCGTGCCCTTAGTCCTCCGCCAGGGCCAGGGCCTTGGCCAGGGCTTGGCCAGGGCTTGGACAGGGCTTGGCCAGGGCCCGCCGGCTCCACGGAACCAATTTGTTGTGTCCGCTCTCCTTCTCCATTTCGCCCTCGCCCACTTCCTCCAGGCCCGCCAGGCCCGCTCCTTGGTTTATCCGGCCACCGGCGCGTTATTGTCACAACAGTTGTTGTGGTGTCTCGTCCCGTTGGCCGTCCGCGTCGCGACACGCAGCCCAGGCTGCCCAGCGTCACGCGGCCCTCAGCCCGCGGAAGCCGCTGGAAGAAAACACGGACCACACTTGGAGCCCTTCGTCGCTCCGTCTCTCTCGCACCCCTGGGAGGTGCCCCATGAGCGCGAGGGAGACGGAGCGACGAGAGCACAGTTCAGATTCGCGAGCCGTTTGCCGTTGCTCATAACGGCGGGCCTCACGTCGTGCAGCGCGGGAGCAGGAAGTGAGGCTTACCCTCCACCGGACACTTCGCCCCGCCCCGCCCCGCCCCGCCCCGCCCCGCCCCGCCACGTCGACACAAGGCCGGCCGCGCGCCACCGATGAGGCGGCGAGTCCAGCCGCCCCCGCGCGGAGGAGCCGGCACACCACTGGGTAAATTGATCTGACTCCGGCCCGCCCGCCCCGCCACCCCCCCCCCCCCCTCCTTCATCTCCAGTGGCTCCCAAGGGCCCGAGTAAGAATGAGTCTGAAAGACCCCACTAGACTAGCGGCGCGGCGTGAATGGGAACCGCCTGACCTGCATCCTGCATCACGTGAGCCGCCAAGGCTGGAATGGGGCGGCGAGACTCCACGCCCATTGGCTGGCGACCTGGCACAGTGTCGCCACGAAAAGGGCGAAAATTCTTACGATGCATCAGTGCCGAAAGGGTTGCCTAGCTCTGCCTGCCCACTAGGAAATACTTTGGCCCTGCCCTCGAGGAGTTGGTAGGCTGAGGTTGGCGACCCTTTCATAACGGTGCGAGTATTTTTTCCTTCCTATGTGACAACCCCGCCTGCCATGCCGTGCGTAAGGAGGGTCTCTTGCGCGTGACGTCGTACATCGCCCGCAGGCCGCAGGCTCAATCCGACCAGGGGGCGTCGCTCTGTCTTTGTCGCGCCCTGACGGGACGCCGCGTGAGAGCGAGAGAGACAGAGCGACGACAGCACTGGGCGGCCAGGCGGCCAGACTCTGCCGCGTCGGTGAGAAAAGTACACGGAGATAAGTGCCATCCGTTCGGAAATGGGAAAAACAAATAGGAAAAACAGGAAAAAATAGGGAAAACAAACCGCCCCGCCGCTGTCCTAATTTACCATCTCGCGAGAAGTTTGCGGACTCGATCGTCGCGGTCGCAAAGAAACTAAAACGAAAACCGTTTCCTGTCTCCGTTTCCCAGCGTGCGTTCGCTGCAGAGAGAGAGCAGGCGGAAAAGGCACTGTGAGCGACATGAAGTTGCAGCGGCGGCGGTGTATTCCTTCCCGCGACACTGCGGGGCGATCTAAGGTGAGCCACAACGTTTCGCCGGTCGAGTCGTGCGAGTGGCGCGTAACGGCGCCTGATTTATGGGCTGCCCTCGCTACTTACACCGTAATGCGCGGTGTCCGGCGAGTCCGATGACGAGTGTGATGCGAGTGGAAAGCGCCAGCAGTCTGATTCCGAGAGTCGTTTTCGTCGCGCTGTCTCTCTCCCACCTATACGGGACGCCCCATGAGTGCGAGAGAGACAGCGCGACGAAAACGACTCTCGGACTCAGCCTACAGTGGCCCGGGTCAACGTCGCCGTGAGCACGCGTGCGGGCGGGTTTCGAGCTGTACTCTGGTTTTGAACAACAGTCCAATGTAGGAGTTCTCTCCAAGCGCGTTGCCTACGCGCCTCCTAGCAGCCCTATCCTTCCGTTCTAAATGCACGGCGGACTTCCCTCAGTACGCTGCAGGCGTGAGGGTGGAGTGAGGCGTGACGTGTGTCAGACCGCCTGCGAGACAGAGGGTAGGCAACCCCGAACGGCCTCACGTTTGGCGGGCTGGCCTACCCTGCACTTCACAGGCGCTCCGCCGAGTCGTTGTGTCGCTGTCTCTGTCGCACGAACCGACTCCTTTGAACGGCGGTAGGCTTTGGCCGCTTGGGCCGCTTGGGCGGTGGCGGCCGTCCAGGTGTCGGGTGTCCCCTTGCCGTGTGTACTGCGTCCTGGCCGGCGCGCTGCCCGCGGCTTCCGTGTCGCAAATGACACGGCTCGGCCAGGACGCCTCCCGTAATATTGAGGGAGCTCTGCAGAGAGCTATGAGCTGGCCGCCGCTGGCCGCTGCACAGCTTTTTGGCCACTACTGTACCCGCGCTAGTTCGGCCCCAAAAACAGTGCAGACGTCACGTGGCACGCTGCCGCGCTGCCGCCGTGCAGCCACGCAAGACGCGGTGGACGAGGTGGACGAGGCAAGGGCAGCCGAGGTCAGGGCTTCGGCTTCGACTTCGGCTGGTTTCGTTCCGACGGCACGGCTTACTCATTCCGGCAGTCCGTTTCCGTCGCACTGCATCGCACTGCCTCTCTCGCACCCAAACGGGACGCCCACGAGTGCGAGAGAGACAGAGCGACACGCCGACAACGGGCCGCGGGCCGCGGGCGACAGTTAAACCGCGGCCAGTGAGACTTTTATCGTCTCACGCGCTGATATTTGTCGCCGACTGCTGACTACACGACGGTCCCGTAACAGCGGCTGAAGGCTGAATCCGAACAGTGCTTTTGTCACTCTGTCTCTCTGTGGAGGCGTCATCTCCAGGCCGGGTTGCGGCACGGCCGAGCACGGCGCACACGTAGATCGGCCAAGGCCCAAGGCTTCGGCGAGTCCAGTGCCAGGTTGCATTTCGCTGCAGTTCCAGGGACTCGCGGCCACTCCCGGGGACTCGTGCCAGGGACTGACGCCGGGACGCCGCTGAGGCCACACGGCGCGGCGGCTCGGGGCCGGAGGAGCCAACGGGCTGGTGGCGCCACAGTGTTCCGCCTTCTCCCTCTGTCTCTCTGGCTGTGGGGGCGTCCCGTAGGGCCCGTAGGGGTGCGAGAGAGATAGAGCGGCGAAGCGCCTTCTCCCTCCGTGCCGCCAACAAGACTGCCCTTATCGTCCACTCGAGCGGCGAGTGTGCCGCCGTGCTTCGTCGCCGTGCTCCACGCCGTGCTCCACGCGGCCCTCGGCCACCGCGAGCCAATCACGGCCCCGCCCCGCCCCGCCTCCATGCAGCCCTTGATTATGCCCCGACACAGCCGCCTCAATCCGAGCGACCCCTTCGTCGCTCCGTCTCTCTCGCTCCCCTGCGGCCTGGCCCGTGAGGGCGACAGAGACGGAGCGACGACGGCGATGTGCGGAATCAGTCGGCAGGGCGGCCGGTCCATGCGCCGCCAGCGACCGCCAGTGCGGGCCGCTAGCCTTATGCACCGGCAGGCTGTCGGCCCCGCCCCGCCCCGCCCCGCCCCGCCCCGCCTGGATGTGGCCTCGAACTTGGCCGCGGTGCTCGGCGGCACGGCCACGGCACGGTGCGCGAGTTGACCGCGAATAGGTAACGCGCGGCCCCGCCCCGCCCCGCCCCGCCCCGCCCCGCCCCGCCCCGCCCCGCCCCGCCCCGCCCCGCCCCGCCCCGCGAGCGGTGTTGGTGCCCCAGGCTAGGCTGTCGCTGATCCAAGCAGCTGCGCAAGCGTTCGCTGCTTCGCTGCTACCGTGCCCAACGGGCCGACCATGGCGCCGCGGCGGTCGATGCCTCGAAAACCGCAGCCAACACACTAAATGTCATGGGACAAATTTTTCTGGGGCCAACGGGTTATGCAATTTTAAGCACATCCGACGGTGATACAGTTTTGTGCCCGCCTGGATTGCCCAACGCTGCTACATGCCAACTTACATTGGACAATTTGTAACGCCAGGCGGACAAAGTTATATCACCGTCGGATGTGCTTAAAATTGCATAAGTCCTTCGCTTCGACAAAAAAGTCTCATGACATTTAGTGCATTTTGTTTCATTTGTTTCTCGCTCTGTTCCGGCCGGTTTCGGCCGCCACCGCTGCAGGCCTTATCTCGCCACTTTCACGTCTTCACGCCGCAAACCGCGAAATTGACGCAGTTTACCTTCTTGGCCCACCGCGGTCGAGTCAGAGTCGCAGTAGTGGTCCAAGTCAGATCAAAACAACGTCGCATGATGGCAGTCTTTTTTTCAAACTGAACCAGAGTTTGACACTGACGCATCAATTTGAGAATGAAATCATTTTGAACTGTCTGTTCTCCCTAACAATGTCGCAGTGAAGGGGTCCGCTCAAAATGAAATAGGCTGGCATCACTGGCGACAATTAGCCCGACAAGCGAGAGGCAGCCAGAGGCGAGCCATCAGAGGCGAAGCCGGGCAAACCCATTGAAATGCATTCAGGCGGGCCAGCCGGAAGCGACCAGTCCGTCAGCAGTGCGTCTCTCTCTCTCTCTCTCTCGCTCACAACAATCGCGAAACGACGTGCCGCTCTGTCGTTGTCACCGATAAAATGATGGCTAGATAGTGTCTCCCGGGCGGCGCGAACCCACGGCGAAGCCCCGCCGAGCCCGGCCCGCTTGTCTGCCGAAATTGCGCCGCCACCCGACAGAACGACGTATGTCACTCACTGCCTCTCTCGCACTCGTGGTGTCTCGCGTAGAGGTGCGAGGGAGATGGAGCATTCGGTCCACACAGGTACCCGGTTGTGTCCGAATGACCGTCGTCATCGGGGCTGTCCGGTCCGCTCCAGAGCCCCGCCAACGAGCCTCAAAGGGGTGCCATTGGTGCCAGCTCGGACTGTACCGGTTAGCGCAAATTTGCCAATGTTTTTGTCACTCCTGCCTGGTTCCGCCCAGGCACTCCGGTCCGGCTTGAATACAGGGGAAAGGCGGGGCGAGGGAAAGGGGGACGGGGATTTAAATGCAATAATGATTTGGCGCGAACGGCGTGGCCCGCGGCGCCACTCCACTGCAAAGCCGCACGTGTACGTACAGTGTACGAACAGCAGACAGCCATCTGGCAGCCCAACAAAGTCAGACCGGACATGTAAAGGGACAGCAAAAACTCTTTCCTTTCGGGATGGGAATTTGAGCAATTGTTCTTTCTCCCTGACATCCGGTCCGGCGGCGTTGACGAACCCCCCCATTAGAAAGCCGACTCGAACAACAGCCCCCTCCCCCGGCGCCCCGTCTACAAGGCAACCCCTCCTGGCTCGCGTAGATTCTGCATCAACAGCGCGGGGGCCACTCAGCCACTCAGCGAACGGCACGACAGCAAAAGCAAAACAAAAACAAAACAGGTCAAGAGGGGCGAGGGCGGGGGAGGGTGAGTCTGCTTCCCTCCCCCACGGGTCCGAGATAAGCTTTTTTCTGTGGAGACGCCGGGCAGGGGGCGCGTTAGCGACGGACGCGGGACGAGCGTGAGACAAGAGAGCGTGACAGCGGGTAGTGACACGTCAAGTGTCACTCGTGACGCGTCGCACGTCGAAGCAGAGCTCGGTCTGACGGATTCCGTTCCGCCGGGCGACGACGCCTTTGTCTCCATGCGTCTCTATGCGTCATTGGCGGTCGCAAGGCGTCAGGCCGTCGGGGTGCGCCATACCATTCAAGTATTTGCCAAACTCGGCGGCGCCGAAAGTGAAAACAAGTCTGCAGCGACGTCGCCGTCGTCGTGGCGGTGCGGTGCGTCCCTCCCCGCGTCCCCGCGCCGTCTCGCTGCGCCGCCGCCATGCCGCCGCGCACCGGCACGCGCCGTGACACAACCGCCGTGGGCGTCGCACTCTCCCTGCCTCCCGCCGCTCCCGCCGCGCGCGAAAATGCGAAAATCGAAGCGCAGCGATTGCAGAGCGAACGAGCGCGGGGCTGAAAGTTCGTCCTCCAGGAGGAAGTAAGCGGCCGGTCGTTTCCGCGATTCCGCCTTTTGCCGCCAGCGTGCAGGCCGCCGTCGAGGTCTGCTTTGTCCGGCTGAACACACGGCCTTTTGCCGCGGCCTCTAGCGCCCTCTGGCGGCCTTTCGCCGCCATTGTTCAGGCCGTATCGGCGCGTATCAGCACCAACGCCATGCAGTGCAGTGGCCAGCACAGACCGCTGGAGGCCTCGTGGACCAGCCTTTAGGACCAGCCTTTAGGACCAGCCTTTAGGGCCAGCTAGCTCAAGGGCCAGCCTCGAGAACCCGCAGCCCGCGGTCCTGAGGTCGACGGTGTGCCCCGCGGTGCCCTGGGTCCTCCCCGGTCGTCGCGCAGCGGGACAAAAACAGTTCGGCGGGGCGAAAGCCGGCAGGCTCCGCTTGCATTAACCTCCGCGGTGGGTGTGGCAGGGCGCGCGGGGCGGGGTGGGGTGCGGCGGGGTGCGGCCCAGGTGCTGCCATGGTGGTCTTATCACGCAAGGCCGACCAACAGGCATCAATGACCCAGCGGTGGGTCTGATTCGTCGGCCGCCGGGGCGTGGCGGGGCGTCGTAGTGCAGGGCGTGGTGGGGTGGGGTGGGGCGGGGCGGGGTGGGGGCGGGGTGTGGCGGGGCGTCGTAGTGCAAGGCGTGGTGGGGCGGGGCGGGGAGGGGCGTGGCTGGGAGGTCGACGCGCAGCACCGTGAGCGTGCGGTACGCGTGCTGCGCCGACCACTTTAACGTAATGCAACGAACAGGTGGTGGTCATCGATAAGTTAAACAGGCATTTAGTACCGGCCGATAACACCCGGCCCAGCATAGCCCAGCCTAGCCCAGCCTTGCTGCAGGCTTCGTCATCCTGTCTCTCTTCCATCCCTGGGAGAGAGACAGAGCGACGGAATCAAGGTTCGGCATCAGCCTGCTGCTGGGGCTCGAGATGGCGCGGCGCGCGCCGCGTAGGGGCGCGTGGCCTCTGCCGTGGCCTCTCTGCCGTGGCCTCCGCCGCCGCAGTCTGCCCGCACTTGGCCTTGACCTCCTCGCCCTGGCAGCCCCACCGCGTGGCCCCCAAGACCCCCGTGGCCAAACCACTCTTCATAGAATCAGCCAGCAGGCGCTCGGGTCGTATAAAAGTTCGACCTGCGGGTCCTGCGAAGATCGGGCAGGGCAGTCATGCAAGACGCGTCAAGCAGTCATCCTGTAGTCGCACCGTCACTCGACGCCAGACTCACGCCAGAGGCCGCCTTGATCATGGCTGCGAAAAAGGGTTGAGCATGCCGCAGCCTCACAGCTTTCGAGAGTAACTTGTTGCCCAGTGTACAAGACGAGGTGTAACCAGGCTCACCGCCGGGTGGCCCGGCCCGCCAGCCCGCCAGGCCCTCGACACGTCCGGTCCGGTCCCACCACAACACACTATTTTTGCACCCCCTGAACGCGCGCCAACTTCTCATTCGGATGGCCAAGGTGGTGGAAAGCAAAAGGCACAGGGAAGTGAATGGCACTCCAACACGGCCAACGCGGCCAAGTTTCGGCACAGTCAAATGGGGCTTGGGGGTTAGTCACAAGTCCTTTGCGAATAAAAATAGTAAAGGCGCTTTTCTTCCTATTGTCGCCATGGCAAAAAATCGCGTGCAGGTCGAAAGCAACAGAGTACCGCAAAAAGTAAGCGCGCAGTTCGATCGCCTGAATCCATTAACACGTTTTGAGAGCGAGGTTTGGTTCGGGAACTCCGGCGAGACTTCCCGGGACTACTAGACGTTTCGAAAGGCCCCAAAAAGATGTGAACCCGTGCCGGTGCACTAATGGGGCACTGGCTGCGTAGGTCGGCGGCACGGCGCCGAAGGGCCGCCCAGGGGCCGCCGGCAACGCAACGAACACACTACGACGCCCAGAAAACAAATTATCATCTTGACTTTTGTTTTCAAGAGGGCTGGAAAATTAAAGATCCAGAACAGGAAATTTATTTGAGTTAACCAATTTAACTACTACATTATAAATTCCCCATTTTTGTTTGAAACTAGAAATTTTTAAAAAAATTTAATCTTTTTACGCAATGTCGTTTTTCCTCTTTTTTTTTGCTTTCAACTTACCGTCCGCCCCATGCCATACTGCCACACTTTGCACAGTCGCTTCACCAGCATGACTCGACGTGGACGAAACACTTAGTCGCTGGGCATGGTAATCCACTCCACTGGGTCTCGTCCGGCGCTGATCTCGCTGGACTCCCGCGAGGGGCTGTGGCCGCGAGGGCTGGGGCCAGGCACGCACGCGACGACGCGGCACTCAGAGAGAGGGAGAGAGACAGAGAAAGGGAACGCGAGCAACGTTACAGCACTCCCCCGCGGCTTCTTGAAAACAAACCGCGCGACGAGGCGGCCCCGCGTGTTATACCAGGCTAGCCGGCCGCGGCTGTGGCTGTAGTGGCTGCAGTGGCTGTCGCGGCTGTCGCGGCGCAGGGGAGGAGGGGGAGGGGGGGGCGGGGACGGCGCGCGCCTCTCTGTCTGCCCGCCTGCCCGTCCGCTGCGTGTCTGTGTCGGCGGTCACACACACACACTCGTTCGGTCAGCGCTTTGTGGCCCGGTATCTGTTTCTTGTCGAATAGACACATCTCGGGACGCATCTCGGCGTCTTCCCGTCCGTGCCGTCGAAACGACGGCTCTGCTCGGGGCACGAACCCCCCACCCCTTAGGGCAACCATAACCCTCCACATTTTTCCCACGGCGAGTGTGAAAACTTTCACCCTAGCAGGTCTCGTGGAAATCAAAGTAGCCTCGTAGGAGCCAAAAGGGACCTCTTCAACGAGGCTGGTTTGATTTCTACCAGGCCCGTTTGGTTTCTGCGTAGGAGGCGAGGGAGACAGCGACGGGGGACTGTTCGTAATCAGCCTGCACGTGTGACAACTGACAATCGGCCCGCCGCTGACGCCGCTGACGCACGCTGACACCGGGCCACAGAATTCGGGCGGGCGCCGCGGCGCTGTCACTCATCCACCCCTTTATGGCCAGCGGAGCGATTCCGCACAGCGTCGCTCTGTCTCTCTCGCACCCACGGCGCGGCGGCGAAGCTTCGGGGGGTGCGAGAGAGACGGCGTCGCTGTTTGTCCGAGCGCGGGCCGTGCTGCCGTGTCGGCGGAGCGTCGCGCACGCGGCCGGGCCGTGCCGGCTGCCGGCGGCGCTAGACGAGAGCGTCACGGCGACGAGCGCCGCCGCGCACCGCGACCACCGCGACGACGAGACCAGACGTCAAATCGGATGCAGAGTCGTCGTGTCGCCGCGTACCGCGTGGCCTCGCCGTGACACGGCGTTTTGACATGTGTCGCCGTCGCGGGTTCGAATCCACGCGCCGGCCGGTGTTGTTCTGTTTTTCGGGCGAGGTACGGCGACGGTAGGCCCTCCCGGCCAGCGCGGTGTGGCATTTGTTTACAGCTGCATCACAAAGCCGTTTGGCAGCGGTTCAGGACAGACTTAGACCCAGGCCGCGCATACGCCCTGTCCTGGCACAGTGGGCCAGAAGAACGACGCAGGCGGCCAAAACTTTAGACGCGTTTTGAGCTCCAGAATTACTAGCCGAACGTGTGACCCCACCAATGGATTGCTCTCCGAACGAGGAATCCATTGGTGGGGTCACACGCTCGGTTCTAGTCATGTTTAGCGACTCTGCAGCTTAAAACGCGCCGAGGGTTTTAGCCGCCGGGGCCCGTCTTCTGGCCCACTGTACCTGGCCCCGCGCTGTACCAGTGGCCGACATGCCACGCGACAGTAACCACTGCTCTGTGAGCTGACCTCTGCCATTCGTCCGTTGGATCGCTATCGGGCTCCGTGACCTGCCCCAAGCCCCAGGCTGCCCCAGGCCCACGCCGCGGGCCGCGCGCTGCGTGCCCCCACCCCCTCCCCCTCCCCCTTCTGCCGGGCCGCCGGGCCGCCGGACTGCACTGGCGCAGCGGCGGAACTCTCGTCCACGCGACGTCTCGCCATGGTCTCGCCGTCTCGTCCGCGCGGAAGCGCAGTGATAGCCATCGCCACAAACGGCCGCAAAATTATTGCTCTGCGTGGCCGCCGTGGCCGGTGAGGTGTAAGCCTCATTTGACTTCATAGATGGGCTGGTTAGGTTAGGTGTCAGAACGCCTGCCGCCGTAGGCAACCATGCGGAGCGCAGCGCACCGGAGTGCTGCCGTTGCCTACCGCCAGGCGCTCCATTACCATTACCATTAAGGGATGATCGTATGCCATTCGGGCCCGACACATGCTCGCCTGCACTGCGAAACGAGACCCGCCCGCCGCACGCGCCACGCGCCACGCGCCCCGCACGCGCCCCGCCGCACGCGCCCAAGTCCTCGCGTCCTTAACCCTGCCGGCTGTCTCTCTGGCACTCATGCTTCCCTCTGGTGCGTGAGAGAGACAGCGTGACGTTGTCCCTGACGGAGGGCCTCGACGTGTAGCTGCCCTCGGCGCTGCCGCACCGCCAAGGCATGCTTGCTTGCTTTGGCGGTGCAGAGGCCTTGCCGTCTTGATGCCGAAGCCGAGCAGTGCTCCGTCGCTCTGTCTCTGTCGCACTCGTGGCCGTTGCGCTGGGGAGCGAGAGAGACAGAGCGACGGCGAACTGCGCCGTTGTCTCTCCGCAAGCCGCACAGGCTCGGACTGGCCAGGGCAGACAGGCAGAAAAATCTGCCGGGGCCATTCGGCTTTGGGACAAGTAACGTCAGAAAGTTGGTCAAAGAGTCCTAGTATATATAGGACGAAAGTAGCCGTTTTCGCTGATTTTGGGCGGCCACTACGTCCGATCTACTTGCGGTCAACGGCCTCCCTCGACGCCCTAGTATTCTTAAGACCCTACTCTTTCATGCCCTGTATCGGGAAGACGTTGACCACAACGATTTTGGCTTTGACCGCAACGATTTTCCGACCAAGTAGGTCAAAAAGTGGTCGAATCTCGGAAATTTGCTGATTTTGCTGACTTTGGGTGGCCACTGTGTCCAATCTAGTCGCCGTAAAAGGCCTCCCTCGACGCCCTAGTATTCTTAAGACCCTACTCTTTCATGCCCTGTGTCGGGAAGACGTTGACCACAACGATTTTGGCTTTGACCGCAACGATTTTCCGACCAAGTTGGTCAAAAAGTGGTCGAATCTCGGAAATTTGCTGATTTTGCTGACTTTGGGTGGCCACTGTGTCCAATCTAGTCGCCGTAAAAGGCCTCCCTCGACGCCCTAGTATTCTTAAGACCCTACTCTTTCATGCCCTGTATCGGGAAGACGTTGACCACAACGATTTTGGCTTTGACCGCAACGATTTTCCGACCAAGTTGGTCAAAAAGTGGTCGAATCTCGGAAATTTGCTGATTTTGCTGACTTTGGGTGGCCACTGTGTCCAATCTAGTCGCCGTAAAAGGCCTCCCTCGACGCCGTAGTATTCTTAAGACCCTACTCTTTCATGCCCTGTGTCGGGAAGACGTTGACCACAACGATTTTGGCTTTGACCGCAACGATTTTCCGACCAAGTTGGTCAAAAAGTGGTCGAATCTCGGAAATTTGCTGACGCCCTAGTATTGTTAAGACCCTACTCTTTCATGCCCTGTATCGGGAAGGCTATTGACCGCAACTAGTTTGGGAGCGGTAGCGTCACAAAGTTGGTCATGAAGGGTAAAAACAATGATGATCGGGGGCGTTTTGCGGTCTTATCCGCCATGGCCTTTTGGGGGCCAGTCCGAGCCTGAGGCCGCACTGCATGCAGTGTGCTGGCAGTGTGCTAGCAGTGTGCACGCGTGGGAACGGACCGCCGGGCAATTAGACTGAGAGCCCTGCTGGACTGTTTCCGGGCAGTGTCTCGTCCCTCCGTCTCTCTCGCATCCCGACGGGACGCCCCACGAGTGCGAGAGAGAAGGAGCGACTCTTCAGTCTGCTGCAGAGCGCCGCGCTGCTCCCAAAAAAGAGCCTCCTCCAAGTCGGGGGCCTCGCGATGGGCCGGCAGCGGCCGGGAGGCCCAGCTCCAGTGCGGACAGCTTTGGAGGTTGTGAGTGGTTGTGAGCTGTACAGCCCGACCCGAATCAAACACAGGATGGTACCAAGTTAACCAAACCCATCGAGAAAGTCTGAAAACGCCGAGCATTTCCATTACCAGTTACTCGATTGGCGCCCTTTTGGTGCATCCCTTCCTTCTTCCCTTCTTTCTCCCTCTTCCGGCGTTGCTCGGATCACCCGGATGCCATGGCATTGTCATCCACCCATCCATCTTTGGTTTCCAGTGTCGGCGCTAATTTCGGGTCCGCCGGCCGCCGCGCCGGGGAGATTTAATCGGCCGTACTCTCTGCGGCTTTCCGGCCTTTTCGGCGCCCCGTCTCCCTCATGAGTGCGAGAGAGAGAGAGGGAGAGACATCCCGTTTGCATGCTCTGCAGGTGTGCGATTCGCGGAACAGAGTCCGCTAAGTGATCGGCTGCGGCTAGAGCGGCGGCTACAGCGGCGGCTGCGCGGGGGTGGCGACTCGTCAGAAAGGAAACAAACACAAAAATGAACCAAAACGTAAACAAAGAAAAGAGATCGCCGAGTTGACTCAAATCCGCCCGGCCGCTCAGGATCAGTCATTCCTGGATTCCATTTTTGCTCTTCGTTATTTGACCCGGAGTAGAGTGTATTTTGAGTACTTTACTCTGTCGAACAAGATAGCCAGCTTTCTAGAATGCGCGCTGCTGCCACAGTCCTCCTTCACCTTCGCGCCCTTTTCGGGCATTTCGATGAGTTCATCATGAGTTGGGCTCACCTGTCCAAACACACCACTTCGCTCGCTGAGTCACGCTGAGCCGTCAGCCTGTAGTCGAGCGATTTCGAAGGATCGTTTCTCCGCTCCGTCTCTGTCGCACCCTCGCACCCCGAGGGGACGCCCCGTGAGTGCGACAGAGACGGTGCGACGAGACGATCCCGCGGAATCGCTCATTCGCCCTGCCAACAGTGTTTTCGTCGCTCCGTCTCTCTCGCCGTCGCGGGGCGGCCCGTAGGGGTGCAAGAGCGCTGAAAACGTCATGGTCGGACACATTGCCAAATTATGGCGTGACATAAATTTTTGAGTGACGCTGATTTTTAGCATGACTTTTCTTTCGTTTTTTTTTTTTTGCGTGATACTTTATTCACGCCTCTGGAAAGGGCACAAAGTGACGCCAATAGATTTTCAGTGAGAGACGGAGCGACGAAGCACAAGAGCCGTCCTGCCGTAAATACAATTGCCATTATTACTGACGTCACCCCGTTCGCCGAATTGAAACGAAGTCGCGCAGACGGATGTGTGGAGCGTCGCGCCACTGTATGTGTACTTAGGTGCACCGCGAAGTCAAACGTCAAAACAAACCAAGGGGCGACATACCACCGCTCACCCGCCAGATATTCCGAAGAGGCATTTCGTCTCCCTGTTGTCTCTCTCG